TATATATATTTGTAGGTAAATTAGAGAAGGTGTTGAAATTTGGAGAGAGGGGTTTTGGGAATACGAAAGGCACTGGGAAAGTGTATAGTGGGTTTGCGTCACCATCAACACATGCATTTTCATTCAGTGTGAATTGTGAATTGATCGGGACCGCACAAACCACCACTACCGCAAATAATATGCAACCTTAATTTTAAGTTCAATGAATGTCCAGCCAATGCATGTACACTATTTTTATATCTTCAATCCCATAAATTCCTCACTAACCATATATATCTACACATTCAAGGATATGATCCACTACACATGTAAGATTATTTTGAGAGGAATATTGGATTTGTACTTTTGACTATATTCTTATTGTATATTTTAATTATTACAATAATTAGTTATGTATTATTTCTAAATTTTGAATCATTTTCACACACGTGTTTACTAAGTTCAATTATCTCCAAATTTTTAAAATGAGTCTTAAATAAAACATAAGGAATGGACAAACTATAAAATTTTGGAAATATATTTAGATGGGCAGTCACCTTCTTCTACTTCTCACCAACTACTCTCCTCCTCTTAGTAACTATATTGACATGATAAATAGATACCTATTTTTCTGTAATTGGCATCAATCTAAATCTTTAACTCCCTGCCTTTAAATATCTAGTACTAGAAAGAAGCATGACAAAAGATCTTACAAACAAATAAACCAAACTAAGGTAAGGTAACGCAAGAAGGCGATCAATTCCTAATCAAATTGACATACAAATAAACGAGAGAAGTAATGGAACAATCGCGATTCTAAATAGGTGTGGATGGATTTAAATGCTAAATTTACTGATAAATGGATTGTGTTTTATTTCTAAATAATGATATTCTTAATTGAGGGTATAGTGTATTAAAATCCAGAATTTTTTTTTAAAAATGAAAGAAAGGAAATCTTATTTTTAAATAGAAGAAAAATTTATGAGTTTAGATGCTTCTAAACCATTAAATTGTTTTAATAAAACCAATATTTTTTACCTTTTAAAAAGTGGAAGAAGCATTTGATTAAAAGAAAAATTATTGGAATTTTGTTTTTTCACTGTCACGCATATGCTGGGAGAAACAAAAAAAGAGAGAGAGAGAGAGAATTTCTAACAGCATATATTAAAATTTTAAACTATGGAACTAATTATGTGGTGTAAATAATTAGTTCCTTAAAAAATTTATTAAGCTATATATTAATGAGGTTTAGGTATATGACAGTATGTGTAGGTAGGTGTTCTTCAACTGTTACATTCATTATGAAGACCAACTTAAAAAAAAAAAAAAGGAATCATCAAAAGAAGATAAAACGATAAAAGGAAAAGGATGGAGGGTGATAAATATAAAAGATTATATATATATATATGATTATGTGTGTTAATTAGATGATACAAGTACACACACACACACATATATATATATATATAATGGTAGATATAGAGAGGGGAGTATTTTCATAGAATTATTAAAGTATGGTATTTTTCATTTTCAACCTCATAAATATTAATGGCATATTATAACATACACGTAATCTCCATTTTCCAAGTTTTTGATTTGATTTGCGACTGACTCTATGCGTACATACTTTAATTTCTTATCCGAGTTTTGGAATTTGATATTGACCTCTACCATTTTTACAAAAGACTACATAAAACTAAATAAATAAATAAATAAAAATTGTATTAATTGCTGAGAGAATGTTTGGATGGAGAGGAATTAGAGGAAAATTACACAAACAAGTAGGAACTCATACCGTACGATAATACTTTTTTATTTTTTTATTTTTTTTATGTATTCTAAATTTGTTCTATTACTTTCTAATTTTGTCAAATAAAGAATTTGTGCAGAACCATGTAAGAAAGAGTTTGATGTTGAACAAAATATTAGTCAAGAATAAATGGTAGGATGAAAATTTTTGGGCAAAGAAGATACAGAGGAGTTGGTTAAAGATTTAAAATTTTGTATACAAATAAACGAGTAAATAAGAATTGAAGAAATTCAGATTTTCTCACGTGGATTACAAGCATAAATGTGTAAATGATTTCTGTATAAATTAATAATATTTATGACTAAATCAAAATAGACATCTCATTTTTTATTTTAAAAAAGAATTAACTTGATTAAATTTTAAAAATTTAAAAATTAATTGAATAAAAAGTTATAATAAATTATTCGGAGGTTATTCGAATACGTGTACTTAAAAAGAAAAGAATACGATGCTTTTACATTAATTAAAATAATTATATTCTTATTTTAAAATAAATAAATTATATATTTAAATTCCGTAAAAAATAACTTGTATATTATTTATTTATTCTCCCTAAAGTGATTAAAATTATTTATAAACATTAAATAAATAATCTTAAATGTGCTTTGAAATAATTTGGAGAGAGATCAGGGCTTAGTCATTAGTTTAAAAAGAGTCATCCCCTCTCAAAATTTATTTGGATCACTTGTCCATAATCATAGGTAAAAAAAAAAAAAAAAGAAAGAAATTAGTGGTTGCAAATGACAATTATCTTAATTAAGAAAATTAAGTGGGACGCGCACGCACGCGTATATAGATAATGACCATGTCCATTCTGGTAATCTTAAAGAAAATAGATTGAATACGAATAAATGCTTGGTGTTGACTTTTTTTATTTATTTATTAAATTGACTATATAAACTCTGAAATTATAATTATGTAATTTTATATATATATATATTTTGCCCATAACACTTCATTCATCTTGCAGACCTTTTATTAAAAATCATAATAGGATAATTTGCTTATATTTCCATTAAAATACAACTAATTTTTGTTATTCACATAAAATAATACGATGTATAATTATTATATATGAGTTGGAAGGATCACTTTCAAAGAAAAGCTGGGGCATAAGCTTTGAGGTGAATGTATATGTATGTAAATATTATGTCAAGTCCAAATCATGCTGGTCCTTACCATACTAGCTTAACGTCCTGTGTCCTCCATTAAAGCTAATCTGTTACGTTAATGTCACAATTCATTATCTATTTAACTGGACAGCAATAAGAAATGAAGGATGTAAATTAATATTATTTTAAAATGTGAATTAACTAGGCACGAAATGTTATGTAACTGACTAAATTAAATATATAGAAAGAAACAAACCAACACAAGTAATATATATATATATATATATATATATATATATATATCATGGGAGTAAATGTCATCACTTGCTGCTCACAAAAAATATTTAAACCTTACCTCTAAAATCTAACGCCTCACATTATACATCATGGTCACAAAAACATGCTTATTATAATTTTTTTTTTTTTTTTTTTTTTACACACCATCAAATAATTTCTGTCGTTATTAGAAAATATTCATTTTTGTTTGGTAACGCATAAAGTCTTTTTGTATTTTTTATAAATATAAAAGTTATATAAAATTTTATTAATTTGCCGTAACTATTTTAATTAAAAAAATATATAATAAAATATTATTCTGTTAAAAAAGATATTGCTGAATCAAGTATTTTTAGTAATTTTTTTGACTCATGATATTCACATAAATTGTAAAGTTTTTAATCATTATATTACCGTATATATCAACGATAAATATATTTAAATTTTATTAAAATGAATGTTTAAACAATCTCACATGACCAAAATTTGAACATGGATTATTAATGTTCTATTTAGATGATTTTTGTGATAGTTCCTTAATGTAAGGTAATATATGGTAAGTGTGCAGTATGGTAATTGATAAGTTATAATATGTTTGAGAAAACAGTATATTAATGTATGGTAATGACAGCTGTTTTATTTGAATTGATAGATTGATATGATTGTATATTAAATCAAATTACCAAATTATTCATGTCTTAATGTACTTAATATTGAAGAAAAAAATATTTATTTAAATTATAATTAAGTTATTTAACTCGAAAAATTATTTAATTTGTAATTTTTATTGAATTTTTTCTTAAAATATCAAAAAATAAATTTGTTATGAAAAATAAAAATTTATTTTTCATAGTTAGTATAAAAAATTAATTTAAAACTACAATTTTTAATTTATAATTATAAATTAAAAAAATTAGAAAGAAACAAATTGAGAAGAAAAAAAGAAAAGAAAAAAGGAAGTAAGTTGGGCTGTTGAGAAAGGTTTTTTCAATGATAAAATAAGAATTATAAAAATTTAATAAAGATATAAATGAAACAAAAATGTTAACCCATCAAAAACTATTAAATCGATAGTTTTAAAAAGTTGCTTAAGTTTTGCTTTTAGAATATCATCAAAAACTCTAAAGTAACCATACAATCAGCAAACAAACATGATTTTGCTATCTCATTACCATATCTTACACTAATGAATCAAATTTTACCATTATCCAAACAGAGAGTAAAAGTTTAATAGATGTAAAATTGATTCTTTATAATGTCTCAAGAGAAAAAATGTATTATATGTGAGTTTTGTATTCAAAATTTTATAGTTTACTTCGTTAATCTTTTAAAGTTCAAATAACTTTAGTCTTTTTCTTGTAAAAGTTAAATTGATGAGTGAAATTCGAAAAAATGGAATCTTATTCTGACATCGTCTTAATATTAAATAATTAAATAATTATCTAAATATTTTAAATTAATAATAAACAAAATTTGTTTATACATATATACATATATTTTTTAAATAATTTCCTAATAATTTTTTTTTCTCATTTATATAAAAATTTAAAAATAATTTTCTCAATGAATTACTTAAAATATGA